CTGAAGAGCTCAGGGACAGCGCGCAGGCCCAGAGCTCAAGCCCCATGACCAACAAAAATAAAAAAAAATAAGAACTAATTTTAAAAAATGACTTGGGAAGCAACTAGTAGTATGAAGTGGTTTGGTAGCACTTACCTCTTAAATCTGAAATAGGCCTTCCCATTAATTCTGAGCCTCTAATGCTGTGGATAAAAATATTCTTGAGTACTATATTGTGAAGAGATTTACTTCCTGTCAAAGAAATAGTGACAAATCACAGTCAGCAGCTTCAGTTATTTAGTATATTATTAAATTATTTAGTATATTACTAAATTTAGTATATTACTATTTAGTATATTACCAAAGAAGAGAACATTTCAGATGGTCTTATCATAGCTATGCTGATTTATAGGCTTATTGATTTTTATACTTTGTCAATAATTATACTTCCTTTTTTATCCTCTGAATATTAGAGAAAAGTTTTGGAGAATTGGAAACAAGGAAAGAGATGGGGAATATGGAGCTTGTTTCTTTCCTGGAAGATGTTCTGGTAACCAGCAACCTCTGATATATTGTGCTCGTCCTGGCTCTAGGATGTGGGAAGTGAACTTTGATGGGGATGTTATCAGTACCCATCAGTTCAAGAAACTCCTCTCATTGCCACCTCTCCCTGTGATTTCTCCAAGGTAATGATCTACATGGCTGGTTGGGAGTATTTGAGAACTTTGTATGGAGGGGTTAAGTTAAAGTCTCTTATATTCTGTATGTGTTAAAGATTTTACTATGCCTTGTAAGAGTAGATTTTATTTTTTTGGTGGGGATGTGGGTGCTGAAGTTGAATTCAGGGCTTTGAATTTGCTGTGCTGACACTTTGTTACTTGGAACATACCTCCAACCCAGCTTTTAGCTGGTGATTTTGGAGATAGGGTCTAATGAACTTTTTTGCCCAGGCTACCCTCAAACCATAATTCTCCAGATCTCAGCTTCCTGAGAAGTTAGGCAGGAGCTACCAATGCCCAACTTAGAATTTTTATCCAAAACTACAGTGAATCCCCCAAAAGTCTTTAATCAATTATCTTTTTGTTGTTATTATTGTTGTTGTTTGTACGGCTTGAACTCGAACTGGGCACTGTCCCTGAGCTCTTAAGCTCAAGGCTAGTATTCTACCACTTGAGCCATAGCACCACTTTGAGTTTTCTGGTGGTTAATTGGAAATAAGAGTCTCACAGAAGCCGGGTGCTGGTGGCTCATGCCTGTAATCCTAGCTACTCAGGAGGCAGAGATCTGAGGATCGTGGTTCAAAGCCGGCCCCGGGCAAGGAAAGTCCGTGAGACTCTTATCTCCAATTAACCACTGGAAAGCCGGAGTGGTGCTTTGGCTCAAGTGGAGTGGTGCTGTGGCTCAAGTGGTAGAGCGTTAGCCTTGAACTGAAGAGTTGAGGGACAGTACCCAGGCCCAGAGTTCAAGACCCATGACTGA